TACACAAGTCATCTCGCCTCCGTTGGCGACGACAACAGAGACGACGACAGCCGTTTCCGGCACCCCTTCTCCCGGCACCACCCTGGCGGCTGGTGGGGGTTGTCCCCCCCTCCGGCGGCGGTACCACACTTGAATGCACAGCCCCAACAAGACGGCCTCATTCTTGTTTGTTTTCTCGCAAACCATCGTGCCTAATTTTCGTATTGATATCGTGGGAAAAGCCTCCGCTGTATGTGTGTTTGTGAAAACCCACTCATCATCATGTTGACGTGTTTCCGAAAACTCCACTTTTCACCCGCCCTCCCTATGCGTCCCCCCCCCCCCCTGCTCGCGCTTAACCAGGAGTACACGCACCCCCTGCTCAAGTACTACCGCATGCACGGCCGCATCCCTCCCCTGAGCTTCTTCAACACTTACCTCTGCGAGATCGTGTTCTTCTGGAGGTTCATGCTCTTCACGTTCACCGTGGGGTACAAGCTCTTCCTGTCCCTGGCTGCCTACTACATCATGAACAGGTGCAGTCACGACTCCCCTCCCCGTTCGCTCGCCCCCCGGATGAATCGCACTCGACGTTTCGTGAGGGTGACCATGTACAGGCTTTATTGAACGTGTATCGAAGGGAAGTGTGAATATGACCTGTTTCTTGAACGATATGCGAATTTCCCGGCGCATAGCTGTCTTGTCTTGGCTGGCTGGCTGGCTGGCTGGCTGGCTTCTCCCTGAGTGCCTCCTGCCAGCCCCGTGTATCGCCACGAGCAAGGAAGGCTCTTTTGAGCCTGCGGTCGCGAGAACCAGTTCTCGCGCTCTCCCACCGTGAACCGTGAACGATTGGTTGACCTCTGTCCAATCCCAATCGTAACACTCCTTTAGCGGATGCTGCTGCTACTGATGTTGTTGTCGCTGCTGCGGCCGATGTTGCTATTTCTGGTTCTGTTACGGCCACAGGCATTGGGCTCAGATTTTCACCCCGCTGTCCACGTCTGCTCTGGTGGTGAGCTGGCTCCTGACGCTGGGGTGCGACCCTCGGGACCGCGTCAGCAACCAGGTGACGCTATCCTTTCACGTTTGCGTCGCTGTTTAGCCGTTTGTTGTTTCGCTGTTGTGATCGTCGGCGTTGTCTTGGTCGTTGCTGTTGCCGCTGCCGTCACATCCATAAGCCGTCCCGACCTCCATCCAAGTACCTGCCCTTCCTTACGACTGTAAAGGGAGCACAGACTATGGAAGAATTAGTATGCCCTTTGGAGGAAGGTCGCCACTTGTCACAAATAAATACCCCTCCCGCGAAGTTCTCTATGCATTGCATAGTCCCGGAAGGACACTACTAGACTATGGACAGAAAGGTCCCAAGGAGACTTCAGACCTCGGACTTGGAGGCGTTTCGCGTGATATGACGGTAGATCGTGGCGGTCGGTTGATGAAGACCAGAAAAACTCAAGTATTCATGTGCTACATGGTCGAAACTCGGTGTATGCCACAAGACATGTCTAAACCTGTGGAGGTGAACCCCCCCTCCCCTCCGTCTCTTTGTGTTGTGTCTTGGCAGATGATGAATGTCCACTTCTGGTTCCACGCTTTGAGCGAGATCCCGGATATCCTCGTTTGGATCAAGACCGGGGAGACTTTGGAGGCAAGTGAAACCTTACGTGTCGTTTTTTTTTTTGTTAATATAACACAACAAATCCATCTCTGTCCATAGAAAAGAGTCTTAAGATAGATTTGCAATTCATAGCGTCAGCGGAAGTTTTTTTTTTGATGAATTTTGCGTTCTCTATTCTGTCTTTGCTGTCTTGTGTTCTGCGTGGGGTAACCAAAGAGTGGGTTCATGCGTACATCTTTCGAACCCTGCAAGGCAACAAGCAAATCGGACGCAATCGGGCAAAAAAAAATAATTGCTTGCATCGATTAGAAGGTGCGCGGGAAGCAAACCCACAGGAAGGACACACGCCAAACTGAAAACGCAACTGATTCAACAACACAAAAAAAATGCCAAGTAGGGACAATGTGCCCTCCATGTGTGTATGCCTCATCGCTCCCTCCTGCCTCTCTGCGTTGCGAGTATACCACGGACGTGTGCTTTGCTCCCTCCCTCGATTCGTGTATTCCCCCATCGTAGGTGTACGAAGATGGTGAGACACGCCGTTATGCATTTCTCGGTTCTTGGCGGTGTTCTTGAGTTTGCCAAAATTGTCCATGCGAAGCCTGAGTTACGGTGGCCAACGTAGGGCTGCTGCTTGTGGGAGGAGTTGATCCCCTTTGTAGCCTCTTGCTGCAGACCATGTTCGTGGTCATTCTCCTTTCAAGTTTATGCTCTACGGCAACATGCTCTCGTCACAGACTTCTTGGTATTGTGTGTCATTTCTGCAACCATGGCTTCGGATTTTTCCTCGTTCTCCTCTGGTCATCAGGCAGCGGTGGCCCGCTGCAAAACCCGTGGCGTCTGCAGCTGCGAGCTCTTGTGATGTGTGTGTGTGTGTTTGTGTTTTGTGGTTCCTTGTTTTCAGGGATTCGATTTAAGGGAAGCGACTGCGAAATGAGACAAAGTCTTCTATTGAATCGGTGTTGGTTGTGACACGCCGGTTTTACTATGTTACGCCAGTTGTGCTTCCTCTTTCATCTTCTCTCGTTTAACTGTGGCTGTCCCTGCTTTCGGAATCCTCCTGTCTTTGTTTGTCTTGTTTCCTTCTTCTTTGCCACCAGCAGTGCTGGTCATTTCCCAAGTAGCGCACTCACCAACCCGACCACTACTGTGCTGTCCCTGCTTTTGGAATCCTCCTGTCTTTTTGCCTCTTGTTTCCTTCTTCTATTCCACCAGCATACCAACGTGTGCTGGTCATTTCCCAAGTAGCGCACTCACCGACCCGACCACCACCCCTCCGTGCCACCCCCCCCCCC